CACTCCAGAATATGAAGTCGTTATTTAAAAATACCGCATTTCCCCGTATTATTTCGGTATAAATTTCACTTAAGCCCGTTCCTTCGGAGGGCCACTCGAATAACGTCGTATCTCCGTTTTTATTGCCCCCAACGAGATTTTAAACGCAATTTATATTTTAACTATGGAAATCTTGGCGGAGTGTTAATTAAAAATTATTTTATTCGTCTGACTTTTGACACCTTTTTCTGCGTCGCTGGAGATATTACTTTATGCTTTTTTCTTTTGTCTTCTTCGAAATTAAGATTTCTTAACAAGTTCTTCTTAAGGTACCTACTTTTCTCTGTATTTTTGTAAATAACTAAGGACTCACCCCGGCTCCACACGTGTGTAATAATTGCAGGAACCCAATGTTTCTTTGAAAATAATGTTAGGTACTTATTGATAATATAGCATTCGTATACATATGTTACTTACATCTTATAACAATACTCCTACAGAATGAATGTAGGTGATATGCTTATTGTATAGGTTAGGTTGACTTAATAGTCAGCCTAATGGTCCGAAGTATAGGCGATAACCATTTACCATCAGATGAGCCGTATGCTCGATTCCCAACTTCGTGGTATAAAAAATTCAAATACATACTTTTTTATGACTCTTAAACTCTTGGATAATAGATATATCAGTCTATCTGTTTACAAGAAAGATAATAAGAGTTAAACTGAAATCAACATAGGTACCAACACAACTGTTATTCAGGACGAGGCAGCCAGATATATTGTCTATTATCGACATCTTATAAACTTGACATGCCCATATTTCATATAACTATAGGTAGGAATAGGTTCGAATTCTAGCATGGCTGGGAGAGAACCTACGTCTCTCTAATTAATTTTTGGTTGGTTATCGATTCTTCTTTTACTGTGGGAAATAAGGTTAATCAGAAAAATAAATATATACGTACAAAATGTTTTTGTATTGTGTCTGCCAGCTTTGAACTTACGACTTTTTGGATATAATTTGGGGTAGTAAACAACTTCGCTACACAGCTCCCTAAAAATAGATCTAATATCAACAACATAGATGTAAAATGTAATTTAATTAACTAGAATATAACTTATTTGTAGGTATTATCAACCCTGGTTATATCATCAGAAACGTCATTAAAGGGCGAGTGCAGATAGCTATTACACTCTTTCAATTAAAACCAACGTTAATCTCTCTACGCGATTAAATTACATTAATTGGCAGGGGGAACGTGTACACACATTATAAATTGGCAAAATAATATTCAACACTATTGCACTGCGTTATAGTCTATTTTCGTTTACCGTCATTTAGAGTAAAGATCGTCTTTGTTAATATTTGCGAATTGGCATCAATTTTGCGAGTGACGCGTCTCCCAGTTTTCGATTTTGGACTCTACCTTGTTGTGTTTAAAGTTAAAATTTGTGTGTGCATACAGGTTTAGTAGAAGGGAAACCTTTTTGGATGATGCACAAAGAGATCGTAGATATGGGTGTAATGCGATTAACTTTGTGTTAAGTGACATGGCGCTAATGATTTGATTTGGAATTATTCCTTTTCGCAATCGGTACAGTTTGATGTCCGTCACTTATCGTCCATAATGACGATATTAACGTTCCATCCGAAGTGCGTTAGTCATCATTAATTTTAATACGATCTATAATATGTAAGTAGTTTTTTAGGACTGTCTGAAGACTTAATCTTGTAAATTTATGTATGTATAGATATAGAAATATACGTCTTGATACTTTCGTGTTTTTTTTAAATAGATATATATACAGATAGATCTTCTTCTTATAAGTAATTTATATATAGTAAAATTCTGGTATCACAGTATTAGATGCCATATCTACTCCTCTAAAACAGCTTCACCGATTTTGAAGAAATTTTGTATGTGTGTACGTTAGATCTGGATGTATGGTGTTGTTATAATGTAGGTTGTTCTGTTTTATATCCCTAAGTGTTTTGGGTGGCCAAACCAAATTTTTCATTTTTACATTTTGTACAAAAATATTTATGTTATTTTTTTATGAAAAAATACATACAACCCTAAATTATCACCTTCTAATACAGTTGGTATTTTTTATAGCGATATTAATACTTACATTTATACCAAATTTAAGTTTTATACAAAAACAACGGTTGCGTGGTCAAATAGTTTTAATACTAAGTATATATATATTTTATTTATTAAAATGTAGAAAATATAGGCTATAATTACTTATTTTATAATTAGGTAAGGAACATAATCTTAACTTATGTTAAATTTGAACTCTGAGCCGAGTACTTTGTCACCACTGCTCTGCTGTTGTGGTACCTGACTTTATTGTGTATGACTTAGGTATGAGGTAGAGTATAACTATACAGAGTACTCATCTATACTTAATAAATGAAGTAATAGGTATTATCACGGGAATAAACCTATATGATGTTGTATAGTAGGTATAAAAAAGAGTTAAGTATGTAAGTAACTTAATACTTTTTCCTGTACGTTTGCGTACTTACCTCTGCTTCAGCTATTTAGCCAAACAGAAGCCAGAAGACAAAATAAGACACAGCCAAAAACAATCCTATCTGTGTTTTCATATAGGATGAGATATAATTAGTAGTGAAATTGACGGGCTCAGTGATATAGGGGTTTAGCACATCGCTTTACTTCCGCTGTTGGCAGGTTCAATTCTTCGTAATGTGCAGGTACTTATATTAATTTAGTTAAGTAGTTATTTTTATGAGTTGTCTATTAACCACAATAAAAGCTTAGCTTAGCTTCTTGTAACCTAGGTATATAGGCTACGGGTGCCACTATCCAACCAGGTGGACCGTCAGTTTGATTCCCATTCCAGTTAAAAAAATACTCGTTCATTATTCACTTAGAAGCAGAGTTACAAGTCGCCGTGATTTTTTACACAATTACCTGCAGAGGGACGGCAAAACGTCAGGCTACAACGGTTACACATATAAGACAATGTTTCATTCAACCGGGAAAATCAATACCTATCTGGAATAACTTCCTATGCATTCTTCAGACGGCCCCTGTTGTCTAACGGTACCTATAGCACACCGCCTTACATCTGAAGATTGAAGGTTCGATTCCTCGTACGATACAAACATTTGTATTCATGAGAATGATTGTTCGTATCAGTCTTGATGTGTTCTATGTATGTTATGTACCAATGTATATATGTCTGTTATGTTCGTATACCTATAGAAAAAAATGTAAGTACCTACGTACGTATTTTATTAGTTATCTATAACACAAGCTCTGCTTAGCGCGGGACAAGATGGCGCTGTGTGAATTGTTGTTGATAATATTTAACAGAGATAGGTAAACCTTATAAAAAATCATATGTATCTCTCTTCTCTGTCTCCCTTAGTTAAAGCATAATGCAACTTTATAAGATCTAGGTCGAGTGAAGACAGTAAAATTACAGGATTATCAGGCACAAAATCTAGTCTTCCGCAATGACTGTCACATGCGTCATATAACGATATGATGTCCATGATGCTATTCATGTATATAGGCAACGGTTATCTACCATTCACCATCACGTAGGCTCTCTGTTTGTATACCATTTCAATTACATTTATAAAAATACGTGTCATAATAACCAGACCTGAAGCAATAATATGTAGAATAGAATAGAATAGAATAGAATAGAATAGAAAATCATTTATTCAAATAAACTTAATTTAAGCACTTTTGAATAGTCATAACAATTTGTTTTTTATCTACCACTCGTTCGGAAAGCTGTCTCATCACAAGAAGAACGAGCAAGAAACTTGTGTGTTGCTCTTTTAAATAATCCTTGTAAGTTTACATTTACAAGTCGGAACGTGTGAATACAAACTACCAACAAGCACTAATTTTTGGGTCAAATATAACCTTGCAATAAGATTAAATCAGTCGTAGTGATAAGAGCAGACCAGTCCCTACAAGCAGCACTCGTTCACGAGTATGACGGATGAGCCAGCCATCACTGCGCTCGACCATATTTTCAATTACATTGACCCGGCCCAAACATATCTGGACATTTTAGTGAGCATGACTACTCATTCCACACGACCACGTCACAGCTACAAAAATTACTATATGGTAGTTACAGTATTCGCACTTTACATAAGGATGCATGCGGCAATCAATACAAAAGCCGCTACGCTATCATATATCAAGAAAGCAGTATGAAAATTAAAATTATAACGTTGTCCGCAAATAAACTTATTCTTGCTATATATTGCTATCATCTATAAATTCATCTATCTTATAATAGGCTATGTACCTATCTATTACTTGGCAAATAGAAAGAATCCCGAACTATAATCTCCCAAACTCAATACTAAACCACCAAAACATACTACTAAGTAATACAACCCTCTCTAGAACGCGGCGAGTCCCAACATTAGACAGATAGACTTCAACCCGCCGCCCGAATGTGTCTATTGACACGAAATTAATTCCGACCAACGTGGAATCTTCACTTCCGAACCTCTGCCAACTGTCAAGCCATTTAGAACAAATGCTCTCACCTACAGGCCCCGTCATAAACAAATCAAACATGGCCGGCCCGCCCGAGATATATTAATGAGACAATGAGACATTAGCTCGCTACAAAATGCCTCCGCATTCGCGAATAATTAAATCGTAAAGTCCCTTCTACGCCCGCCTACAGCACCACTCTATTTACTCCTTTTTCATTCAGCACAATAGCCACTGCAATCCGGCAATCTCAATTCCATTACGCTACTTTAGAGGCGAGACGATCAACCAAATACCGACTTTATCTATTCGCACGAAAAACGGAAATAGAAAGTCGCGAGATTATTTTATAAGGCGTACTCCGCGGAGACTATTAATTTGAGCGCGACGAACCCCGCCTACTCAATATCACGTTTACACACATGTCGGATTGTATCGTCGTCCCGTTCGCTCCGCGCCGCTTATTAAAATTCCTCGGTCGGTAGCTGCGTCTCTCTCGATCGGCGAGAGGAGAGGCGGTCCGCGGCCGCGGTTTGCGCCCCAATACTGGCGCGATTTTCACCGCGCTTCCACGCGAAACGTTACGCGGACGCGCGCGTTCTCAAACATATTCGCAACTCGCAGAACGCGAAACGACAGCATGCTACCATTTTGAAATTGGAAACGGGAGGTTCCAAATTTGAAAATTTCGTGTGTGTGCCGAATTGTGCTAACTCGCATCGACTGCCTCTACTCGTGTTACATTGACTAGTTCCGTACACTTTACGTGAACAGTGTAATTGAATTAGTATTCATGTGCACACCTACGTAAATTTCTCAATCAAATATGATGGATGCTAACAAATTTTAACCGATAGACTTATTTGCATCGATAGCTAATTAAAATCGATTAGATAGCGACACTAGTGAGTCAGTTTACCTACATTGATGGGTAAATCGATTTGTAGATATTTAGGAAGATGATGTCGAGCATTCCGTCGGTAGAGATAGAGGGACGTTTGTGAAGGTTTGAAATGCCATCGAGTAGATGAAATGAAGACGTCGCTCGAATGCGACAGGGCCGAGGCCGCCGAAAACGGCGGGAAAGGCCGTATATCGTTTAGCGTTGACTCACTGCTAGGAGGAAAGACTGATGCACCGGCGAAGGATGCTAGTATCACGGACGCGAATAGTAACGATGCGGAGAGTACCGACGCGGCTCCGGAGACGGACGATAGTGACGTGGATATTGAGGATGTGGAATCTAATGCTGGGGACGAGAGGGACGAGCGTGAGATGGCGCACGATGGGGACGAGATGGAAGGCAGGAGCGGCGTGGTGGTCCCGCAGCCGCTGTTGCCGCGGCTCTACCAGGGGCCGGCGCCTCCGCACACCTGGCCATTCGGCGCTTTTCCTTGGATAGCGCCGAATCCTATGTTTAGAGGTGGCTCTCCTAATAGTAAGTACCTATATATGTACCTACAATATTTAAATAACAATAAGACAAATAACCTTTATTAACATATCACACAACGCCATGTAGTTCTAAATAAAGCAGAGGTGCCTACTGTAGGTATATCACAAATGACAGAAGTAAAATTACAGTAGGTAATAAAATTTTGTCATAGTGTAGAACTACCTATAATAAAATTCCAAATGCATTTTATTTTTACGATAAATATTTTCTAAAATCTCTACCGGGGCATGATGTTCTGGTGAATTAATACATATTAAATTTAAATTATTTATTGTATGTCTGATTGTCAGTCCCTTTAAGTGCAATAGACTGATAAAAAATATATTTATATTGACTGCGTAATACTCGCATTTATATGCATTGATCAGTTATTGTTATTGCATTAAACAAAGAAGTTTATTTTAACAAAAACATATTTATCAAACTTGATCAAAATATAATGTGATAAAGTTTGGTGAATATGTAGAGTCTATAGACTAACCATAACGTATCTCTGATAATTCATTTAATAATACTAATATATTCATATTAAATATAGTCTTATTACACGTGATTAAAACCTAAATCAAAACACATAATATATGTGTCTTTGTACCTTTGTTGTTTGTTTAAACAAACATCTAATTATTGCCATACAAGAAAAAAAACATAAATTTTTGACAGTTAAGAAATATTCTCTAGCATATATATACACTGGCATAAAATCATCAAAAAGTTCACTTGCAAATATTAATCTGTTCAGTTCCTATACTTATTAATTAATTGTACTTAATAAATAGTTGGGAAAATAAATTTATTTGTATGTAATATATGTGTGTAACGTACAGCTTATATATTAATATATAGGTATTACTTGTATTATTACAGAACAATAATGACCTATTAAATTCAGTACCTCCAGGATAATAAATAACAAAATTCGATTGTCATAAAACAAAAGCATTCTGCAAACAATGCTATTTGCATTACAATATGCATTTAGACATAAATAACTAATACCGGATTACCTACCTTACGTAGTAAATTGATAATTAAGCCTTAGAATTAATTACCACTAGAAAACTACTTAGATATAAAAAAAATTAACCACAAAATTAATGACAGATTTATTCGTTCCGGGTTCAATGTCAATAGCACTTTTTTTTAACAGAGCTGACAGACAGAACAAACCAATAAAGAAGCACATGTATAAAGTTTTGGGACAACAATTAAATTTATAATATCAATTCCAACATAATAAAAAACTGATTAGTTAAGTATAGTAGCTAAGTGAAAGTAAAATTTAAACTTTTGCTCTACTTTTGAAGATTTACGTAAATGGAAATGATATTGGCATTATGAGACCAATGCTGAGGTAAAACATTTCAAGTGTAAAAAGAATACCCATAATTAACAAAAAAATAAAGAACAATAAGCCGATAACAAATTGCATACGCTTGTCTGCTATTTTTGAAGATTACAGAATCCAATTGGAAAACCATCTCGTTTTTCAAAACAGTCGAAAACATAACCACGATTATAACAATGTATTTGACTATTATTATTTTTTATGTACTATAGAAAATTTCACGTAGCATTTGTTTTACAATTACGTAGATGATGTTATTGAATAATAGAATTATGCAATTTAAATGTTCATATCATATATTGTTTCGATTAGACAAATTGGCACACAGCAATTGGCCAATTAAAATACAATTAGTATAATTACTACTTTAATGTTTGTATTCGTTAATATATGCTTCAATTTTTTTAAAGCATATATCCTGAATGTACAGTTTAATTGTATGAAATATTAAGTGGACTATTTTTTCCCTAGGGAGTGCAGAGATACCCGAAAGCGGTTTCGTTTACTAAATAAAATTATGTAATATACTAAATAAATATGAATATAAGTAAACAGGGATTGGATTGGATTCACTTTTTGTTGTAAATCATACGTATAATAGTTTTTATCGGTCTAGATGTTTTCTACACCTACAGTGTATCTGTACTTTCCACTTTAATATTTTATCCTAATTTAAAAAGTTGTATCTAGTTAACAAACATACATTACTTATACTTATACTATATATAAAAATTGAGGATATATTGAGATAAAAATTAAAATTATTTTTATTTTTATGCTTTCAATTATCAATCAATTCACAATACAAAACAAGCAGGTCATTTTATTTAGGTAACTATATTAGGTAATATTAATAATCAATAAACATATTAGTAGTTAGTATACTGAGTAATATTAAATGAATAACGGCGTATAGTGACAAACTATGAAGTATAAAAGTCAATTAATATTAATTATATATAACGTTGAACTTGGATAAATCTATATTTCAATTAATACCTATACCTATTCTTAATACTACATGTCTCAATTAATTATAACCAGTATAAATGATGTTAAACAAAATAATTAAGGATATACCTAATTAACTAATTAAGTTCTACTAATCCTACTAACTTGAAAGTTTCATTCGATGGATGACCGTATCAACGTCTGGATAATTTTTTGATGTTCTTTCATGTAAAAATACTAAACGTATTTTAATGAAACTTTATAGTAATATATCAAAATGTATAAGCTTACATTAAAAAAATATATTTGTGTAAATTAGCAGAAATATAATAATAAGTGTAAAATTAATAATATGTAAAATGGATATTATGGATAAAAAATTTTCAACCTGAAATCTTAACATCTGTGCATAAACTGTTAGAATTACACGAAGATAATTTATGACAGGATTTACCTGTTCCGGTCATAACCGGAATAGGTAAATAATAGAATAATAAGATATACTATAATATGTCTTATTATTCTATCGCCATCAAATGGTGTACCTCAGGGTATAATCTTAGGTGCTCCATTATTCCTACTTAGTTATCAGCACTATTAAGTCTACGGTTCTATATACCTTTTGTTTTAAAGCACTCTTATCAGATTCCATGTTTAAATATATCTAAGGCTAATAAGATATAAAAATTAAATATAGTAGATATAATAACTTCTGGATAACATAGCTAAGATACGGAAGTTTACAATTTTTTTTTATGCTACTATTATATTTTTATACTACTATATATATATAATTATATAATTTAACATTATTGTAAATAGAGGTTTTCTTGATTCTGTTAGTATGACAATTTCATTTATATATACCTGCTTCTTATATTACTTTTAATCTGTATAGTCTCCTTACTTGAATATTCCCAAAATTGTTTAAGAAATTAAAATGACGGCTAAATTGATGGAATGTGGAATTCACCGATTATATACAAAAGAAAACACCACAAACATATCTTATCAGTTATCATATGCCGCTCCTGGTAAGTTATCATTGCAGAAAAACATAGTGTTATTCCTCTGAATTTCATTATCGCTTCAATATTGCTTGGCATATGAAATAATGGTGAATGAGGATGAAATACTTAGTTGATACAGTCACTACACAAGTCTATCTTGATAATAGAATAAAAAATAATAATAAATTCCGTAAAATAATGAAAGGAAATAGTAATGTTAAATAACTACAAATCTCTATACGCAATATCAGAGCAGAGGACCATTGTATCTTACCTCAATAATTTCTCTACCATATCACTTCAACTGAAACACAGTTCACAAAGCAAGTTGTTTCGCCGTTGCAATAGATACTTAGATAATTGATACATTGGACTATATAAAAGTAAGTCTACTGCGATAATATAATAAAAAATATAAATAAATTCAATAAATACAATATCGAGTCGAACGATTGAAACTTATTGATTAGGAATGGCACCTAAACATTGCTACTTAAATATTCCATTGATTACAAAAACAAGAGTATATATCCAAGTTACACCAATAGGGTCATTGTTAGTTAATTAATTATACTTATTTGTAACAGTAATCAGTCCAAAAATCACTAAAATAGACAATTGACAATTCCTCGTAACAATGTTAAAGGTTAATAAATCCTTTGTATTCAAATTTAGTTTTTACATTTTTCACAGAAACAACTGAATTTATATTATGCTTTTATTTATTGAATCTACGTTAAATGGTATAAATAGAAATAATTGGTACGTAGATAGGCATAAAATACTTGCCCACAATAACAGAATGACAGGTTAACGTATATCATTCTACATCTGAATACAAATCTAGGCATCCTTATTACAAATTACATAAGAGGTATGACATCTTAGTCTTTAGAAAGAGCAAGATATGACGGCCTTGTTGGTCCATTTGTATTGGTATGGTACGGCGACTAGAACAGCATGAACTAGCAATGATGCATATGATTTGGTAAACACAAGCACTGCTTGGCTTCGAACTAAATGGTGCTGTATGAATTGTCCAGGGTTGTTGTTTATTATTAACGCGGACGTCACATATAAACGTGATGACCATAGCACTATTCATATACAGATGTATAGGTACAAATGACGGTTACTTACCAGGTGGTAATATCGTAATCGTAATAAGGTGGTAATGCCCTCAGCATATTTGCCATTCCAATTATTAATAAAAGAAAGTAATTAAGACTCGTACTTAAGGTACTCATATCATGTATAGACATGGACATAGAATATCTTTTATATAAAAAAACGTGGCGATGTCGCCTATAACTCCTAACTAGGAGTTACAAGCGACATCGCCAGGTTTTTCATAAACTTAAAAATAATCAAGTACCTAATCATGTAATGTAGCTGCATTTATAGTCTTCATCTATAAATGGCAAATCATTAAACCTGCATTTAATGAAATTATAATATCGACAGATGCATGCAACCACTTTTTTCAGTCGTTACGTTGGTAAAGTGCCCAAGGCTCTATAATACATGGTGGACTCTAATTTCTGCTGTTTTAGCCTATTGTTAGCAAACTATGTTTCAGATAGATACACATATTCTGAAAGTATCCAGAAATTCCGATACTTTAAAGACTACGAGTATATACTCTCTAGTTCATTTATTTATGAATTTCTATA